AAAGTATTTAAAATTTTATAAATTTTCCATATTTTTAGAGAAAATGAATGCATGTAAGCAGCAATTATATTACTTCTTGTGGAATGCACATCCTTTGCCTTAATCAGTTATTCTAAACTGACCTAATTTTTTTGTGGGATTAGACGCTTATGGAAAAGGCAATGAATAATGTTTTGTGAGATTAGACGCTTATGAAAAAGGCAGTGAAATCTATTAACGCATGCCTTTTCGCTTTTCGCTTACATGAAATAACTAATTAGAAAAAAACTAGAATATTCTTCAGTTTGAATATAATACTTTCCTTGTAACATAGTATTATAATGTTGATGTGGGGCGTATCAATTTGAGAAGATAGTTTATATAGTCATGCGTTTGTAGTTATAAACATATTAACCACTGTTTCAATATTATTCAGCAGGAAACACCACTCTGTCCCCCCCGGCGTTGACAAAGGCATTGGTTCCCTAGCTAAATCAGAGTTGTGTTTACGTACGAATTAAATAACTTCTACTGCCTGGTAATTTATGAGCACTGGTTGCTCAGCGTCATATTTTGTTGGTGTTTCTCAAATTCATACTTAAGGAGAGGCCTAAAAATATTTAATATGTGACTTCTCCTAACATCAACCCTTGAGGCAATATTTAATTGCAGAGATCTAATCACTAGAATATTATTATTTCATTCAAGTTCAAATATTACTTGCCAATAAATATCTGTAAATTGAGTCCTATATCTTTTATCAAAGATAATGACTCTGCATTGACTTCCATTGTGCAGATATGGAGTCGTAGTGTTGAAGGTGCAGCCTGTTTAATTTCATTGATGTCATCATTAGGAAGCCTGCTTTGCACGCAAACGAAGAGGAAGCAAGTTAAAAATGGAACTCATGTTTATTCCTTAGATCTTGATCGAGCAATTGTCTGATTGATGATCATAAATGACTCCATGGTCGGTAATCATCGTGTTACTTAGCTCTCTTGTTTTCTTTGTTCAGCTCTCGCGCTGGTTTTGCCTTATTCAGTCATAACCAAACGGCATATTTTCTTATTACTCGTACGCTACTATTATTAACATGCTTAATACTGTTTATGTGTTAACGTTATTTGTAACGAAATTAATTTCTGCATACTTTTTTAACAGTGAAAAAGATTCTGTAAAACTATTTGACTTGTATTAGTGTCATATATCAAAAAGCCCGCGAAGAATTTTTGAGGTATTTTCTCCCTCCTTCCAGCATGTGTAACACACACGGCGCGTATTCAAGAGGTCCAGGTTCGAGTCCCGGCGAGGGCATTGCTCATTTTTCATGTACTCCTGCATCAAAAATAACCTATGACTTAACAGTGGCGTTCGAACTAAAAGGTGGTGCATGATGATGCTTCACCACCAGGATTTGGCGATTGGGTTCCCTAATCCCCAGTCGCCCTTTAAGAGGGGAATTATATAAGGTATTTTCTCCCTCCTTTCTGCATGCCTTCGTGGTGTAACGGTTAGCACACTCGGTGCGTATTCCACAGGTCCAGGTTCCAGCCCCGGCGAGGGCATTACTCATTTTTTTTAGTTTCTCGACATCGCAAAAATTCCTAATAATCTACAGTGGCGCCCGAACTAAAAAGTGGTGGATGATGATTCTTCACCATCAAGGTTTGGAGTTTGAGTCCCCTAATCCCCAGTTGCCCTTTAAAAGAGGGAGTACGTAATATATTTTCTCTCTCCTTCCAGCATAACGGTTAGCACACTAGATGCGTATTTGAGAGATGCGGGTTACAGCCCCAGCGAGGACATTGCTCATTTTTTACGTCTCCAGCATCAAAATAACGTAATGACACTACAAATCCATAAACCCTTTGGTAGAAAACGAATGGCGGACGAAACTTCCATTGTTTTGCTGCTTTTAGTCGATTAGCCATTTGTAGTCAGAATGATTATTCAGATCGGCAGTAAAAATTGAATGAATTCAGAATAGGATCACGAACATCAGAAGGCAGCAATTCCATTGACATCGACCATTGTGTAAGATACTGCAAGGAATCTTCCATAATGTGATTTTTATTGATTTGATCAATAGAACATAAAGCAGATAAAGTGATAACAATAATGATAATAAAATTCACTTTAAAAAACTAATGCCATTCTAATGTCTTATGGTGACTAAACAGATAAAGTAATAACGGTAATGATAATAAAATTCACTTTAAAAAACTGATGCCATTCTAATGTCTTATGGTGAATACTGAAATCCTGTGTTAACAAATTACGCACTATTTCGAAACTGAATGGAAACATTGCCAGTAAAATTGATTACTTCAGCTGTACTAAGATATACGCAAACACGGGAGGAGTCTTCCATATCCAGCATTTTTATTGTGATGCGATACATTTTATGTTTGTCTAAGTATGTATTACCAGGATTTACTTGGATATTATGGCTTAGCTGTGATGGTGCCTGTTTTGAGTGGAACGATATCCTGTACTTAATAAAGATGTTACCGCGACGGAATAAATATGGAGAGCATTCTAATAATGCAATAAACAATTTATGCTGCTTATTTCTACTGGCTTCTTTTTTTTTAACCTAATAAATAAACATCATAATCACACTTAGCTTCTACATCCTCTGTCAGAAAAGTTCCAGGACAAAGGTCGTAAAAAATAGAAAATTGAATTTACCATCCTAGCTGCTATCAAACTAGTCCGCCTGGCTGTCCATACACAACTGTCAACGTATCTGGAGCTCTTGGAAGCAAGCGAAGAAATCTTCAACTGCAGTGCTTGCAAGCTGTTTGTCACAACACGTTGGATGTTTGTAATAATATGAATGAAGCTTTCCTGTCAGTCACTTTTTCACTCGCGGAAACAAGAAAAAATCACAATAATCTTTGACACAAATGTGGGATCAACTCTAGCTGTATCCAATAGTTCAGCAAAAATTCTTCGTCTTTCCTCTTTCTGTTCATCTGTTTAATGAGTGAGGGACGATTCTTGCATTAAGTTTCCGTTTCCCTAAATCTTCGCGCAAAATCTTATAACACACATCACGATTCAAATTCAGTTTTTTTAATATCATACGCACAGTTACACGACGGTCTTCTTGCAGCTATGGATGGGTGACCAGCTCTGGGATCGTCTTGTACTGAATCTTTGCCTTCACGAAACCTTTTGTGCCATTCGAAAACACAACTTCTTGAAAGTGCCTCGCCTGCATATGCTTGCTTAAGCATGTTCCACATTTCATTAAGGGTTTTCCCGAGCTTAACACAGAACTTAATGTTCACTCTTTGCTCACAATCAGCATCCATTGTGTCACCTTAACGAATGCGACAGCAATCTGACCAATGTGTTGCCAAGCATAGCTCTACCACCTAATAAGTTTGCGTGAAAACATGGCCCAGTTCATGCCAAGTAAGAATGCATACCAGGTAACATAAAAACAACATTTGTTCCTCTTTCGTACTCCAAACTCAGAAATTTAGAAAAAAAAAAAAAAATTGTTCTGGAACTTTTCTGACCTAGGCATATAAGCTTTTTTTCTCTCAGGTAATAACATAGTTAACTGGAACTGTTAATGAAATCAAATTGGACTGGAAAACATCAAAGAATTTTCTTTTAAGTGTCAGCGAACAGTAGCGAAAAAATGTTTCGTCAAGGATGAATTTGCACAAATGTGAACAAGCTCTAACGATGCGGCCGTGCGCATTCTACTCTGAATGCTTTATTTTTTCAAAGGGTTTAATGAGAAGGTAGGATATTTTTACTGGAATATATAGACTATATTACAAAATTTTATTAGTTCATTGTAAATTGATTTTATTTTATTAACACTGGAAGTGCTATTAATCTCAATCTTCGCTCCTTTGTTCGCATCAGTTGTGTCCGTATCAGTTTTGAAATAAAAGGATGTTGCCACCAAACGTTATAACCATAAATAATACATGGCGAATATAAAAAGTTTTGTATATATTATGTAAGTATTGTGTATTATATAAGTATATTATAACGAATATAAAACTATATAGTGACACTCAACACTCTATCAGGAATTCTAAAGATATGCGGTTTTTAAATAGTTTGTGATTTTCCTGTTGATTTTTACGTGACATAAATGCGAAGTAAGTCATTTTAATGAAAAAAAAATAATGGCAACACTTAACAGTGTATCGTAATTCTGAACATATGCTGTTTTTAAAATTTTGTGATTTTGCTGTTGAATTTTATGTGGCATAAGTGAGAAGTGATAGTCAATAATAAAATTAAAAACACACACAATAAAAAAAGTTGTGTAGGCCATCTTGTTAACAAAACTGAACATTGATATGATCAACTGAGAAAAGCCTGAAAAAAATATATGGCAAAACTTAACATTCTGTCGGATATTTGATTATATTAATTACATTAGCTTTGGCCATCACAAATCTGAATTTCTACCAAATGCTTTGTTAAAGGAAAAGTAACATAAAGTATTTTGTATGTGATCCAATTTTTCGAAAGATCGCGGATTTGTCGATTGGCATTCTCCTTGGAATGGGTCATTCCTTCGATCATTTTTACCGTCTTCTCAACGAAAATACTGAGCAGTTGCATCACAGAGTATACCGATATTACGTTCGCAAAGAAAAAATATACTGCGTAAACCCATGTCTTTCGGAATTGACATGGCAGTTACCCTCCGTACCTTTCAGGGTGGCATAGTTTATATATGGAAGACCAAATATTTTGCAGCGCCAGGGTTCGCAAGCTTCGGAAAATTATATGTCATTTCTAAGCCTTTTCACTTGGAAAAACGGTCGAAATCTTAACAATCTTATTTGATTAATAAATGAACAAATTTTAATTTATTTTCTTACGGGAGAGGGGAAGGAGATCCTCGCCTTCTCTGCCCAGTAGTTACAAGATATTGTTGATTGATTGATTAACTGTATATAGCAAGGTGTCAGTAGTGGTTTGGTATTCTGAACAACAGCTTGCGATATTTTTATGTTATATATTTTTATGTTTGACAGGTTCATCTGTACTTCAGCGGCATCCCTGAAGCGAAGGTGCCTTACGTGAACAGCGTCGGCGAGAAGTACCGCATCAAGCAATTATTGCACCAACTGCCTCCCCACGACAATGAGGTACGCTATTGTAATGCTTTGCACGAGGACGAGAAGAAAGAGCTACGGCTGTTCTCTCAGCAGCGAAAAAAGGAAGCTTTGGGCAGAGGAACACTCAAGCAACTCTCCGACCCACAGCCCTGCAAAAATGTAAGAAAACATCTCTTTTATTTCATCTTCAACTTTTAGAGTTAACTCTGAATACTTTCATATGGCACCATTACTCGTCGGTTATTTCTAAATAAGGACATTAATGAATAAACTTTGGATAACTATATTCAAAACGAACTATGGTTCATTTTAGATGGGCACTGACTGAATCAAATACTCCTTTCCATGGTTATTATTTCCATTGGTTCATTTACGTAAATTTGTAAGGTAATTTACACTTAAGCACTTTGGTTAAGCTTTCTATGGCGCCATTAATCCGTCCTGTGTCTGCGACTTGTCCTCACATTTTAACTTGAAATCAAAAATGCTAATGAATATAGCAAGAGTAAAATCCAAATTATAACTTTATTCCTATGAACTGGTTGTTAAACTAAAAGCATAACAAACTTATTCACTTCATCTTACAAGATTCTTGGAATCTGATAGTGTTAAACATGAATGACATAAGTAAAGCTATCTGCACCAGGGCAACCTGTCTGCTATAGTCTGTTTCTTCAAAATAGGCACTTCATAGTAATCCTTCCCTCATTTAAGATCATAACATGAGTCGTCATCACTGCGCAGAGAGAAATAAGGGAATTTAGCAAATTAGAGGGTTCAACCTTTTTTTTTCCGAAGCAGTCGTTGCTACATTTATGAGTCGTAGTTCGGGATAAGAAATGACTTGAAATTACTGTTCTAAAGTAACAGACTATAAAATATGGCCGATCCATAAAGCATAAATACTAGCAAAAGCTTTAAGGCATCCACCGAAACCAGGATGGATTACATGTAGACGGAAATATGATAAAACTGCGTTGCCAACTCTCTCTGACTTTAATTAGGCTTAAGTCTCAAAAAATTTCTTTCGTATTCTAGCCTTACCGACCATAAAACATTAAAAAAAATTATATATATATATTACCCCTTTTCCTTGTGATTTGCACCCCCCAACACCAGGGTATGTCATGTGAATGGGTTTATAAACAACAGATTCTTAGTAAATAATAATAAAAAAAAAACATTTTATAATACTTTGAAGCGTTTTATTTATTTATCCATCGTTTGCAGTGAACTTTTGATAACGATTCTGTAGTTCTTGAAAAGTGCTGGTAGTGTTCTTTCAGAATTGCATGGGGACCTCTCGGCGCATGGCTTTGAAAGTTCGGTATATCCGAAAATCGTTCTCTTTTAGTGTTCGTTTCAGAAGCAGGAACAGAACGAAGTCTTCTAAAGCAATATCATCGGAGTACGGCGAATGATCGAACTCTACAACTCCTTTACAGGCTATACACTCTTTCAAGACAAGGGCCAAATATGGTCGGGCATTATCATGGAGAAGGAACTAAGAGCTGACCTTGACGTATTCTGGACGTACGTGACGGATCCTTTATAATAAACTTTCCTGAACGTCATAAGTTTTAGTATTCATTGTTGCTCTTTTCGGTTAACATTCACTTTTCAATGTTTTCGTCATTACAAACAAAATCCATACGTCTAGTACTTCGAGCACTGTCTTCAGCGGACTGTCGAAAAGATTTAAACATTCATTAAACGCACTTTAAAAATACTAGGGGTACTTAATCTCCGTAAACTTGTTTCAGCATATAATGACTTTCTTTTGCAGATTTACCAAGCTTGAGGCAGAAAATTTGTTCGATACTCCATTTTCAGCTACTGCTGCGCGTTTGCATATAAATGTTTATCAACAAAAATCCATGATGCTTTTTTGGTATGTTCAAACACATTATGGAGTACCCTTGCTGCGCTTCGTCGTTCGCCCACGATCGCGCGTGCGCATCCTATGACATCATTTATCGAGCTTTATTATTATACCTTGTATATTATGTATATAATATTAATTTTTCCAAACACCGAGGACTTGCCGATTTGGTCTCTCCCACTGTGCAATTTGAAACAAATAAACGAAATAATTACTTAGTACAGCTAGTTTTTAGGACAATATTATTGTAATTTCCAAATTCGATGTTTATAATTTGGGATCTACATTTAAAAAATACAGAATGTTTTGCTCTTGAAGACAGAGTATCATATTTTTCATGAGTATAAAGCGCAGTGTGTTTTAACTGCTGTATAATCCTCTTTGAAATAAAAGTTGCACATTTGTATAATTTATTTTTATTCACATTCGCACATTTTCATAACAATAAATGAGTATGTATATTTGGTCAACAGAAAAAACGCAATCCAGTTTTCAGAGTTTCTGAAATCCAGCTGGAGTTCCCAGTCAATCCGGATATTCAGAGCTACTGTGTATTAAGCCTACTCATATAGCATAGTTAGGCGTTTCAGGCATCAATACTGAGAAAAATTTCTAACCGGAACGTGTTGGAAAATTCTTGTACTGTCATCCGTTTATGAGCAAAAGCACTAAATACACATAATCCGAAGAGTAAAGAATGAGGTGCTTTCTGGCTTGTATCCTGGAGCTACAGAAACGCTACCTTTTCTTGAAATGGAATTAAAAAGTGTAATCTTTGTTTTCGTAGATGGATGCGCTCCGTTGCTTTCGTAATTGGATGCTTCTGTTTACAAACGGGTAGTTTATGTGTTTCCTTACACGCATTTCCTAGTTGCTTTTCCAAATTCGCCCGTTAGAAGATGAGATACTGTCTGTTTCACAATTTATTTTCCAAGCTTACTGTCTTAATAAAAAATAAACTTTAATGGCTTAAATAAAGTTAATAAAAAATAAACTTTAATGACTTAAAATATCGACGTTAATGGAAGATTAAAATGATTCCGAATTACATACCATCGTATTTTTAGATCCATTTTCGTAACCTCGTTTAGAGGTAAATCTTTACAAAAAATTCTCTATTCTAATACTTTTATAAATTTGTAGACTATTAAGATTTTTGAAGCAGAAAACATCTGGGCGGGGTTCGAAACATGGCTCTTCCGCACTTGCTAGCTGGACGTACTAAATCACCAGAGCACGAATGGGAAACAACGATAATTCTTCGTATTTTCTTTCACTTTAAGGACGACTTGGGAGAGACACGAGATCTAATCGACCCAATTTAGGTGCTGAGGTTTATCGTCCACCACATTTTAATACCGGTACCGCTGTAGAGACCAGCTAAGCGACAGCTTTTTGAAGCTACATCAGAATCTGTAGGATTTTTGAATCAGGAAACATAAAAAGTCAACTATGCCTTCGCTAGAATTCACCAGGAATGCCTACGTCCTCGCCCGGATTCACCCGAATAGCCTATGTCTTTGTCAAGAATCACATATCACCCATTTGCTGGCTGGATGTGCTGACTACTTACACCACGGGAGGATGTGATAAATTTTGATAAATTTCTTAAATATGATATTACATTTTCTAAGAGGTGATTATTTGAAAATTATCCGCATTGCGTGTAGCAAAATTTTTAACAGTCTATGTAATTGTTTTTAAATATATCACAAATGTGATATGAAACTGTATATTTACTCTTTCTGTATAAATAATAAGCCTAAATAGACACGGCAGATTTTTCTGAAGTGAAGAAAAGAAAAGTAGAACTGCAGCACAAGTTTATAAAATATTGCTAGCCACATGGCAATTTTGAATGTATCTAAATTATTTATTCGAACCAAGTATCGGTGCTAAGGATCTCGACTTAGTTCCCTTTATCCTTATATTAGTCCTTGAGGAACCTTGCTGAGCTTAATCGTATTAATGCACATCCAGGAGCCAGTGGCTGCGATTATGTATGGTAGAATGCATTCTTTAATTGATTATAAGAAGAGAGGAATTTAATTGACTACTTGACCATAACACGCGATTTGTAAGTTCGAAGTCGTAATTCTTACATTTATTATAAAATTTCATCATCCTTTTGACCATAAGCTATATGTACGTCTTTGTGGAAACCTGCTGATGAAGCGCAGTACTGTTCCTGATTTCAGGTGGAAAATGTTTATAGGGCAATGTTGTTTGAAATTTAAAAATTCATTATCTAGTCATCTTTGAAGTCGCATCCATCGGAACACACGTACTTGCTTCAGGACTACTAAGATTCTCAGAAGCGTTGGTAAAATGCCTTTGTTCATATCTGCCATAGACTTCTAACATCGTTTTGGATAGTTTAAACTGTCTGAAAGCATTGACTTCCTTGAACAATCTTAAATAAAGAGAACATCACAGTAAGAAAATGAGAAATAGGATTAATAAGATGGTCGTGGTCACAATATGGAATTTTCTTTTTTTTTTTTTTTTTTTTTTTTTTTTTCCCAGATAAAAGAACTTTAAAGTCCTTTTTCGGGGAAGAGGGCTCAACATGCGGTATCCTGCCAAACGGTCAAAAGATGCTTTAACCGTTTGCACTGCAACGCGAACTGTGTTGTCCTCGAAATCACTTTATACATTTCTTTTATAAATTAAAAACCTCTTAAGACCTTCTAACATCCAAATTTAGTTATTGACAGCTTTACGTTCATGACATGATTTTTCTCTGAACTTTTTGAGAAGAGGGGGCGTATCATCAAGGGTCGGCGCTAGACATTTTACCGCCCGGTGCAAACACCGCGACTTCAAAATTCTACCGCCTGGTTCCTTCCTAAATTCTAAAAATTTTGCCACCATTAGATTCTGCCGCCCGGTGCGGCCACACCGGTTGCACATTCTCTGGCATCGGCCTTGCATATCATTTACTAATGCAAGCGAGATTTTTAATGAAATACCTGCCACTTGACCAGTAGTTTCTTTCTTTTATATAAATATCAGTTTTACAGTTACTTATATTCCTGATTCATAAAAATAAAAGAAAGAACTGACATCATGATTATGGTCATAACAAAGCTGCCATAAGTTTGTTGACTGATATTTGTGCAGGATAAGTAAGTCATACCTAACAAAAAACTTGAATTTATGCCATTTAATAAAATTATGTTATAACAGAGTTGCATCCTTATAATCCTTCAGTAGAACGTCATCATTAAATCTTTTCAAGTAAATTCACCAATCTGAGATGACTCACCGAAATATA